TGCGATATTTTTAAATCGTGGCTTTGATTTAGACCTATTCTCAAAAAGACCCCTTATGAAGTTTGGAATGATAGAAGCCCAACATTAACCCCTTCCTTTCAAAACTGCTGCTCCATCACTTACCGTTCAACAACGGAGTTCCTAACATTTCAAAACTTCCCAAACCATCCCATACGGATTACTAAACATCAAAAACCTATAACTATTACCAACAACAGTCTCGATAATCATAAACAACAGTTTATAAGCATTCAAGTTATTCCTCACTTAACAATCATAGCCATAATCTCAACAACGGAATTGTATAACAATGTCCACTAAATCACAACATATCATACTAATTCATAGCCCATCCTACATAGCATACAATATACATACGTATATCTAGTACAATCAATACCATCCTCCAGCGCGATGGTTAAGGACAAAACTCTAGATGCCAAATTACATAATCAAAACAATAAATCACCTTAGAACCAGTGTTTCATACAGCTAGAAGACTGAATCGGATGTTATTAATAATCCAATCAAATTAATGTGTATTCACTATCCAATTGGATTAGTAGGATAATTAATCTCCTTGTCCAATTGTTCAATTTACATTGAATAAAAAACATATGAAGTTAGGAGTTACACACTATATTTATCTTCTTTTCCAATTTTAACCCTCCTCAGTGTTTCTTCGACAATCTTTACTTTATCAAATTTCTTCAATAAACGTGGTTTTGAAAAATTGATAAAATAAATAAAATCCAAAATAAAATAAAAATACAAACACAAAGGCAATGTTTGGTGTTGTTTTTTTAATTTTTTTTTAAAATATTAAACTAATTTGATTAAAATAAATATCAAAAAATATTTTTTAATTTTAAAAAATTAATTTTTAGCCGTCTAAAAATAAAAACTTATATAAAAATATAAGTTGTTTTTAATTTTTAGTCAAGGGTAAAAGAGTCTTTTTATTTATTCCCAGAATCAGGATATATAATTCCACCCTTACGCCCATTACTAAATAATCCTATAGAATTTGTTGATTAATTATCCATTGGATTAATATCCTTGAAACGAAATTTAAAACAAAACCACAGGATATTGGGCCCATAGGATTAATATCACAATCTCCAATCACATCTCTCTCTTTATTTCTAGGCATAACGGGGGAATACAAAGCAATCGCATAAGGGAGGGAAGGGGTCACTAATCCAACCAAAAACAGAGGCATAATATGACCCAATAACACCCAAAAACCTCTGAAATGAAGCCAAGAACAACTAATCATACATGCTACCCTTATGGGCCAAAAATGCAAACAAAAGAGAGACCAAGGGAGAGGGGTGTCCCTCCCCTATGCAATACTTCAAAACCCCTTCTTCACCACTGAAAATCCACTGGATTTCAGTGGTGAGAAGGCCAATACACAAGTCCCCAAAGCTTATCAAAGAGAGCATAAAAAGGGCCAAACAAGGCCTAAGAGGGGGAGATCGACCCCCAACACCAAAGTGACCGTAATGAGGTATCTTAAGCATGCGAATACAAGACTTTTTTCAGTTATACACAAAGCTTAAATCAGTATGCAAGATAGGTTAAAGACTAGTGCAAGATTGGAGAATATAAAGTAAATAGTGTTACCCTTGAAGAACACTTCAAGAATAGCAAGCTCAGCCCTCTTCTTCTGATCAAAACTGACCCAAAGCTCCAAGAACAAACCCTCAAGACCTCCAAAGTCGAGGTATGGTGTAATAGAAGGTGTTCTAGTGCAAAACTAAGAACAGACTACACTTTTAGGCCCTCAAACACATATAAATGAAGAGAGAGAGGGAGATATAGAGAGAGAGAGTGATATATATGAAATATATATCATATATGGTCTGGTTTTGCTGAACCTCTTTAAAGGAGAGGGGAGGTCTCCTTATATAGACAAGGTAAGGGCTCCAAGCTTCTTAGAGAAGCTAAAATAAAAGGGTCAAGGGGGTCAAGCTTCCAAGAGAAGCTAACCCAAAGGTCCAAGCTTCTTGAGGAAGCTAAGACAAAGGGTCAAGCTTCCTCAAGAAGCTAGACCAAAAGTGGTCAAGCTTCCATGAGAAGCTTGAGTAAATGGGTGCAAAGGTTCAAAATAGCCACACCTGTGCATAGGGGGCAGGGTTCGTGCATTCCAGCTAGCACAGCTTGCATGCACCATGCCTACAAGAGGCAAAAAAGTGGTACCGGCCAGAAAAGGATGCCATCGGCCAACTAAATGGTCGGTCGACCACACAAAGTGCCGACCGGCCATCACCAATGGTCGGTGGAAAGAAGACACGGCCGGTAGCCTCAAGCCATGGCCAGTGAGGAGTGGGGATGGCCAACAAGCCATTCCCTGCCCCCAACAAAACACAAGTGTTTGGTGCAAAACCAAACACAACACAATCGAGTCGAGCGGTCCTAAGCAAGGCGCGTAGCCGGACCTTCGGGAACTCAAGACGAACACAAACGTGGATGATCACGAGTGTTCAAACGGTGACGTCCAAGTCTTGAGGACGGTCAAAAATGGGGTGTCTACAGTTGCCCCTCTTGACGGAACTCGAAAGTCATAACAATGACGGGAGTGAGTGTCAAAGCCCAGAGACGGCCCCTTTTTGACAAGGCCGAAGACTTGGACAATGCATACAAGCTTCAAACAAAGATATGCGCCCGAAGGCAGGGGCAAAATGCAGGACAATGCACAAAGCCGAGCGTAACTTATGATCATACAAAGAAAGCTGTAACGAAGCACATACAATGCAATAGTTTTAAGCTAGCACAAACCAAACTACACTATAATGCAGAGAGGGTGCAAGGAAATTATGCAATTCTCGATACGTCTCACTCGGAGGATACAATACCTGTGCGGCTCGTCTGGTTGCACCAGCTTCAAATGAACTGTACATACAGTATTGTACCTGAAAGAGAAAGAAAACTTAATGGTCGGTCAACCACACAAAGTGCCGACCGGCCATCACTAATGGTCAGTGGCAAGAATACACGACCGGTGGCCTCAAGCCATGGCCGGTGAGGAGTGGGGATGGCTAACAAGCCATTCCCTGCCCTCCAAACAAAAACACAAGTGTTTGGTGCAAAACCAAACACAACACAGTCGAGTCGAGAGGTCCTAAGGCAAGACACGTAGCCGAGATCTCCGGGAACTCAAGACGAACACAAACGTGGATGATCACCGAGTGTTAAAATAGTGACGTCCAAGTCTTGAGGACGGTCAAAAATGGGGTGCCTACAATGGCAAGTCTTGAAAAGTCTTTCACAAATCTCCTGTAGTAACCTGCAAGTCCTAGAAAACTTCTAACCTCTGCCACATTTGTTGGTTTTGGCCAGTCCATGATAGCTTCAATTTTCTGAGGGTCAACAGAAATACCATCCCTGGTGATTACATGCCCCTAAAATGTCACATTGTCAAGCCAAAATTCACATTTGGATAACTTAGCATATAATTTCTTTTCTCTCAAGGTCTGTAGAGCAGTTCTCAAGTGATTTTCATGATCTTCCCTGTTTTTGGAGTAAATCAAAATATCGTCAATAAACACAACTACAAATTCATCCAAAAATGGTTTAAACACTCTGTTCATGAGGTCCATAAAGGTAGCAGGGGCATTAGTCACCCCAAACGACATTATAAAAATTCATAATGTCCATATCTAATCCTGAATGCAGTTTTCTCTATGTCTTCTGCCTTAACTTTTAACTGATGGTACCCAGATCTGAGGTCAATCTTAGAAAACACTTGGGCTCCCTAAAGTTGATCAAACAAATCATCTATTCGGGGTAATGGGTATTTGTTCTTGATAGTTACTTTGTTCAATTCCCGATAGTCTATACATAACCTCAAAGGTCCATCCTTCTTTTTGACAAATAGGACGGGAGCACCCCAAGGTGAAGTGCTCGAGCAAATGAATTTCTTGTTTAACAGCTCTTGAAGTTGTGTTTTTAACTCTTTCAATTCTGAGGTTGACATTCTATAGGGGGTCTTGGAAATAGGTTGTGTTCCCAGAATTACCTTAATAGTGAATTCAATTTCCCAATCAACTAAGTCCCCAGGTAAGTCATTTGGGAAAACATCAGGAAATTCACAAGTAACAGGAATAGTTTCCACATTAGCATGATCAGATGGTGCAGTCAATATACAACACAGGTAACCCCTACATCCCTTCCTAAGCAATTTCACAGCTTTTATGGCCGAAATCAGGTACGGGGGAGGAACTACCCCATTTCCAGTAAAAATAAATTCAGGCATACCCGGCGGTCTAAACACAACAGACTTACTCGCACAGTCAATAGTAGTACAGTATTTAGTCAACCAATCCATACCCAGAATACAATCAAAATTATCAATCTCCAAGGGCAATAAGTCAACATACAATATCATATCACTAACCATAATGTCGTATGCCGGATAAACATAAGTACATAACATAGAACCCCCAGATGGTGTAGAAACAGATAACATATATGTCATAAGCTCTAGTGGTCTAGTTAATTTCTGAGAGAAAGCATACGATATGAAGGAATGCATAGAACCAGAATCTATCAATACACATGCATTTTGAGAACATATAGGGAGTATACCTGACACCACAGTTTCGATGTTCTGTATGTCACCAGGCACTAAGGCAAACACTCAACCTTGTCTCAAAGGTTCTTTCCCAGTATTAGCCTTTGTATTTGTTTTGATTGTAGAAGCGGGCCCCGGTTGAACTCATCATAGGATGGCTGGCGTTCTCAGACCCAAGTGGGAAATCTTTCACCACATGACCCGTCTTGCCACATCGAAAACAAGCACCGAAAGCTCGGTAACATACACCCCTATGCCTTCTTCCGCAATCACGACAAACCGGAATAGACCCACTGCTCTGGCTCGAACTACTTGTAGATCCCGTATTATGTTCCTTATTTACATGAGAATGGCCTTTTCTGAAACCATACCCAGACCTTTTTCCTCTCCAATCAGTTGTTGTTGCTGCTGGGGCCTTACTTTATTTCATAGCGGCTAGGGTGGCTTCCTCCATTAAAGATCTGTCAAGAACTTGCACGTATGTTGGCAACTTTAGTACCCCAACTCGATCAAATATGTCCAAGTTTAATCCTCCCTCAAATTTGCGAGCTTTCTTGTAGTCTTTGTCCACCATATGAGGAGCAAATCTAGCTAATTCGGTGAACATTGCCTCGTACTCGGCTACAGACATTCTGCCTTGTTTAAGTTCTTGGAATTCAGACACTTTTTGATCCCGAAAACATTGAGGAAAATAATTTTCATAAAATATCTCATTAAATCGAGCCCACATCATGTTCCCATTGGTATTCCGAATCAGAAACCACCATCTTCGAGCTTCGTCTTTCAGAGTATAGGTGGCCAGTAAAACCTTCTGAATCTTGGTACAGGGAAGTATTTCAAACAGTTTTTCCATTTCGAGTAACCAGGTTTCTGCTTTCAATGGTTCAATTCCACCAAAGAACATTGGTGGTTTCATCTTCATGAATTTCTGAGTCAAGTTGATGATGTCATTATTATCTGCTTCGACTTGTGCCGGCGGGGGTGGATGGGGCAAAGGTTGTTGTCTTTGCTGTTGTGTCATAGTTTCAGTCAACGCCACAAGCATTTGTTCCATTCGGCTCATGCCAGCCTCTGAAGATTTACTTACATCATTTCCCCTTGCATTCTCCATGTAGCTATAGAGACATCAAATGATAATAAACATAGGAATAATCTCATTCTTTTCTTTCAATTCATTTTCTCAGATTTATACTTAATTTTCATATCCATTTGGATTACCACACACTCACACACGCAGATGGAATGCCCCTAATTCTTACTAGGACATACTAAGCTCATATGGACCAGTGTGTGCGGTAGAACATGTGCTCTGATACCACTCTGTCACAACCCAAACCCGCTGCTAACCGGCCAGTAATTCTTGGATTACCAAAGACCTCATGATAGATTAACATATAGATAGGGGCTACGGAAGCAAATATACAAAATAGACAAGGTCCAATCAGCTGTGATAACATACATGGGACAGAATAGCTTGAAACTTTTATAAAATGCGAGCAAAGTCAACACACATAATATATACACAATACACTTAGGCGTACATGACAAAAATCCCACCCACAACTTAACAAACAAACATAGTCTAATACAGATTACAAAAACAGCCACAAAACCAAATTTCATCAGGAACCTCCTCGGGAGGCGCAAGGGTTGGCTGACAAAACTGAAATGTGGGCCGTCAACTCTGGCCCTGATCATGTACCGGCTCACCTACATACATAATATAAACAATGAGCGGAAGTCCAGTGAATAATAACGGAGTAAAGGGTTTTAAAGAATGAAGTTCATACACCTTCAGAAATCATAGTTCAGATTCATAAACAGATTCATATTCAAATTCTTGTCCAAAGTAAATACGGCAGTCAGAGCTCATGCTCAATCATACGTGGTACATCCCTTAGCACTAACAGAACAGGTACAGAACAGATACAGACACATGGTGGTTATGAATAACCAGTTCCGTAAAGGAACCTCTGGATCCGGGTAACAGAGAATAAACATGTTGAGCTCCGTGATGGAGCCTCCGATACGGGTAACAGATGACAAATATAATAAGTCCCATAATGGGACCTCCGATACTGGGTAATAGCTAACAGATATCACATGATGCTAAGGATGCCACGAATACATGTCAGAAATTGGACAATCATTCATTATACAGAACATAGTATTTCAGAAAACAGATCTTAATTCTTCATACAGAAAATAAATAAAGTTGAATATAACTTTACTAAGTTATTACTCACAGTTGGCTTCAGATGCAGACAGACAGAGCAGACTAATCAACGGTTTATGGCATGTGACCTACACGAACATATATCAAACGTATACTTGAAACACACGTTCAAAACGCACACAACTTACTTCATTTGTTCTTAGTGTGTTTCTAGCCTTTAATCCCATTATGGAGTCTTAATCATAGCCTAGGAATGCCTAGGATGGAATGAGGATGCAAAAATGCACTTGAAAACATTTTCCAAAACTTGCTGAAAACAGGGTCCACACTCGAGCATGGCTTTCCTCGCTCGAGCGGACATGCAAGAAATGAAGGTTCGCTCGAGTGTGAATTCCCTCACTCGAGCGGACTACAAATTTTAACAAAAGTACTGGATGCATGGATTTCACGCTTAACGGACGCTCAATCTTCGCTCGGGTGTGAGACTCAGACCTTCGTTCAAGCGTGAAGTCCCTCGCTCAAGTGAACTGTAAAACATACAAACTTCTGGGTACATGCATTTCACGCTCGAGCGTAACTTACGTCGCTCGAGCAGAAGTGTACGTACTCAGAGTGCTCGCTCAAGTGTGGAGTCCCTCCGCTCGAGCGTGGATCAAATTTCTGGAATTTCCAGATTTGATCTTCAAGTTCAAACTCAAACATTAAAGCATCAACTTCATTTTTCTAGGCCAAAACTTGAGAAAACACTTAGAAACTCATAAAAACAACATGTTTAGAGGATCATTTCAAGAAATCATGGCCCAATGACATGCCAATTGCACAAAATTCAACTTAAATCCAAGAATCACCCAAGAACATGACATGCATGCAATTCTTTGAACCAAAGCTTCTCAAAACATGATCAAGTGTTACCAAACAACATAAAACTTGATATTTTCCCACAATCAAAGTGAATTCAAGACATGCATGAGGGAATCTCCAAAACGAAGCTAGAATTATGACATGTATGCAAGAATTCTTTGGAAAAACACCCTCAAATGCCATGGATTATATATGCATGTATGTATTGAGCTTTAATTCTTCAATCTTAGCTTAATTGTACACCTAACTCTCTTGAATTCATATACTAATTGTCTTAGGTACAAAGTTTAGGAGTATAATTCTTACCTAAGGTTGAATGAAAGTGTGATTCCAACTCAAGGCCTCAAATTGTCTTCAATTTTCTAGCCAATTCTTTGTTTGAGCTCAATTTCTCTCTACTCCCCCTTTCTCACTTCTTTTTTTTTTTTTTTTTTATTTTGTAGAATAGGCTCAAAGGTGTATGCAAATGGATGAGAAGAGGTGAGTGGGCTTATAAAAGAAATGGTGTTTAATTAGTTTAAGTCATAAGCAATTAAGTGGGATTAAATTAATCTTATTTAATCGTTCCGAAACGAATTTCAATTAAACCTACCATAAAATCCTATAAATTCTAATTAACACATAATTTAGATCAATTTCTGTATCGGATGCCGATAAGGCCTTCAATTCGTAAATCGAAACTAAGACACGAACAGATCTTCCTACGCAAAACAGATATAAACACAGATAATGCAACACACACATGCAAATTAATTCAAAATTCCTCCTTAATTACAGTTAGGCAATTAATCATGGATTAATGTTAATCATGAGTCGAGATTGTTACAATGCGATATTTTAAATCGTGCTTTGATTAGACCTATTCTCAAAAAGACCCCTTATGAAGTTTGGAATGATAGAAAGCCCAACATTAACCCACTTCTTTCAAAATGTGCTCCATCCACTACCGTTCAACAACGGGTTTTCCTACATTTTCAAAACGTTCCCAAACATCCATACGGATTACTAAACATCAAAACCATAACTATCCAACAACAGTCTCATAACATAAACAACATTTATAAGCATTCAAGTTACCTCCTTAACAATATAGGTCATAACTCAACAACGGAATTGTATATTCACAATGTCCACTTACAATCAACAACATATCATCCTATATTACATAGCCCATCCTACAATAGTACACATAGCGTATATCTAGTCACAATCAATACCATCCTCCACCGATGGTTAAGGACAAAACTCTAGATGCCAATTACATAATCAAAACAATAAATGCACCCTTAGACCATGTTTCATTCACAAGACTAATCGTGATGTTATTAATAATCCCATCAAATTAATGTGGTATTCACTATCCAATTGGATTAGTAGGATAAATTATCTCCTTGTCCATTGTTCAATTTACATTGAATAAAAAAACATATGAATGTAGGATTACAACTATATTTATCTTCTTTTCCAATTTTACCCTCCATCAGTGTTTCTTCACAATCTTTACTTTATCAAAATTTCTTCATAAACGTGGTTTTGAAAAAATTATAACTAAATAAAATCAAAATAAAAATACAAAATACAAAACACAAAGGCAATGTTTGGTTTGTTTTTTAATTTTTTTTAAAATATAAACTAATTTGATAAAATAAATATCAAAAAATATTTTTTAATTTTTAAAAATTATTTTTAGCCTTCTAAAATATAAAATTATATAAAAATAATAAGTGTTTTAATTTTTAGTCAAGGGTAAAAGAGTCTTTTTATTTTATTTCCCAGATCAGGATATATAATTCCACCCTTACCCCATTACTAATAATCCTATAAATTTGTTGGATTAATTATCCATTGGATTAATAATCCTGAAACAAAATTTTAAAACAAACACAGGATTATTGGGCCCACAGATTAATAATCACAATCCCAAACTCTAATCTTGTCAATCAAACATGCCCTTAGGTAATTCCATATCCTCGTTCATTCCAAACTCTCATGTTTTATAAAAATAAAAATAAAAAGTAATTAGTCCCACTTTGTTTTGAAAACAAAACCTCACCAGTCCAAATCCCAACATACACAACAATAGCCAACATCCACTAACATTAATTCAAAATCCCAAGTTTGTAAGCAACCACAACATAACCCAATTGCCATTCAATATTAAGCTTTTTCTTTAACATTCCAAAATTTAAAAAATGAAATACCAAACCCTTCCAACCCCATATTCTAAACATGCTTTTACAACCCAAAATCAATTATAAACATAAGCCACAAGTTCACCAATTTAAACCCAAACCAACCCATATGCTCTTTAACAAAATCAACTATAAAACTAAATTTTTAAATGCCTTAAAAATTACCACAAATCTATCTATAACAATGTATTGAAAAAAAGTTCTAGAATCCCTACCCCTTGAAGTGTAGAGGAGAAAAGCCGAAAATCCACCGACAACGAAAACACGATCCGCTCAGATTAAATCAAAGTCATCGCGACCCTCTACATTTTGATCTATAGGACTAGGGGTAGAAATGGGTGTAACTAGATGAAACCCAAATTTTTAGGTTGTAGAAATCCAAAAATGGCAGAATGAAAAAGAGAGAGAGAGAGAGAGAGAGAGAGAGAGATGAGAAAGAAAAAGCAGAACAAATGACTTTTTAGCGCACTGTGGACATATATACATGACTCATCGTGGCCGCAGTCAAAACCATTACGGGCGCGACCTCCAAAACTGTAGGCACGAATAGAATAGTCGTGAGTGCCACTAGGCTTTCCCAAAAAAACTTTGACTGCTGCTCTGCAGCCAACCCAATGCCCAACCATCTCGGCAGAGCCAGAAACATCTGGGGCAACCCCGTGTCCCAACCAGAAAGAAAAGAAATGGGTCTGC